ACTTCCATGTGCAATTTATAAACAAATGCATGGACTACTGAGAACATCTTTGTATGTATCTCCAGAATTTTCTCTACCAACTCTTTTTCTTGGATGCTACATTCTGTACAGCAGTCAACCTTCATAATAAAACAACCGTATGGCTCAAAAAAAATCTTCTTAGATGAAAGTATTGATTAGCAAGAAAAACATTCACAACGATTTTATTTTAAAGGAAACTTCAACTTTTCTCTGTTATTCCAAGTCTTCTTCATTATTTTGCCTTGAGTTCATTTTAGTATTCTGTATTGTGGAAAGTCTAAATCAGAAAAGTCTAAAAGGACTATAAACTCTATAGTAAAAGAGCTTAAGACTCCACATGAGTAAAAATTTTAGATTGCATGTACTGTGATGTCTTATTGAAGTTACTCATCTCTGCCATTATAGAAAACTGCCACAGAAAGTGCATACGCAAATGTTCACGATTATTTCAATAAAATATTATTGACTAAAATAGAAGATTTCCAGATTTAACCATGGGCTATATTTCAGTGACCTTACTCTAAACTTATCACCCTTTTACTGTGTCCTCTGAGTAAATGTCATATTGTGACTGAAATCTGACGTCCAAGCTCTTCAAGTTAACCCCAGCAGAATTGAAGGCTCTTGGGTTAAGGGAACAGACAGTACCTCCCCAAAAAGTAGTTTAGTTCTTTGCTTTGTTGCTTAACGCATACTCTATGTGAGTTTGTTCCCTCTCAAATATACTATATTATTTTAAAAAACAACTTTTTATTACACAGTTGCAATTCAAAAGAATTATAGATACTAAATCATCTTCATTTTTATTCTAGACGTATCTGCATCCTCATAACCAATAGTAACTTTAGATCCCACAGTTGTAACTGAGCTTAGATGGTTCATCCAAGGCACCAGAAAAATAGTCCTCAAACCAGCACTTCCCAACCACATGATGCTGGAGACTATTTTATTCCTCTTCACTTTTTACATCCACATAGTACAAGAGTAGTATTCCTGCCCAAGGATACCTCAGATGTTCTTTCTTAGTTATTCTACCACTGTTTGTCAAATGCTCCCAGGATACTCTGAAGTGCTTTTCCAAACATGGGTTTCCTGATGCCAACCTGAGCATCTGCTTCAGTAGCCTTTGGAGGTTTAAAAGTTCACTCTTCTCCTAGTGATGCTAATGTTGATGGTGCTGAGTTAGAGACCACTCTTTAAAAGCTCCTCCTTTGTATGAGGGAGTTCCCAAAGCCCATACTATTAGGAAGTGATGAAAGGTAGGGAAACTACAGCTGTGTCCTCTCTATTTCAAAATGTGTTTTACTCCTCAAAGGATGAAAGATTAGCTTGGTTTAACACACTGTCGGGTACTGGAACCACATCTTAGCAACAAACGCTACATTAAAGGACACCAATGGATAAGCTCACTTTGACATGCTAGAACAGAAGTGCTGCTAAACAAATAAGTAAGGAAGATGGCAACATAGGAAAAGCAGAAGAGGCAGAAATTCCATCGCACAATTATTTTGTATACTCAGCCCTCTAGAACTTTCTTGCTCCATAGCCAAGTCAAGATGGTCAATGATTGAGGGTTGGTCATTTATGGGCGTAGACCTAAATCATGCAGATAGGATGCAAAGATGAAGAGAGCAAGAACATACAGAATAGCTTTGAGGCTCTAGCATCTCACAAGGTAGGCAAAGTCCACACGTGCTCATGCACTTGTCGGTAAGTAGAGCCAGGCAGGTAATTAAATCATTAGGTGGCATGGCCTGGGATCTAGAGAGTGTGCACGTGGGCTGCTAGATGGAGGCAGGTTTACCTAAGGAAATGGAGCCAGATGACCACAGTCCAGAGAGATCTGAAAGACAGACAGAGGCATAGCCAGGTGAGAGAAAGCCTGAATGGGTTTAGCATAGCATCAACAAAGACAGCTGGAGAACAGACAGAGGGAAGAAGAAGCCTGTTTCTGTCCCCTCCCTTATGAACCAAATCATTCCATTTTGATTTTGAGAAAGGGGTGTGTGTGTGTGTGTGTGTGTGTGTGTGTGTACACAGAATGGAGGCTACAGGTCAACTTCCAGTGTCATCCCTCAAGATTCACTGCCCTTGCTTTTTGAGATGGAGTTTCTCAGTAGTCCTGAAACTTGCTGATTAGGCTAGGTTGACTGATCAACAAATCTACCTGTCCTTGCCTCCCAAATACTGTGGTTATAAACACCTGCCACTGCACCCAGCTTTTATATGTGGGTTTTGGAGAGCACACTTAGGTCCTAATGCTTGATCACCAAGTGAGTTCTCAGACCTTTCAGGTTATGTCATTTCAGTGTCTCCATTTCCTTCCTTGTGAAATAAATAATTTGAGCTAAGTAATCACAAGACTCCATATTTCATGTATCATGTAGTGACTCTGGGCCTTGTAAAGTGAGCAATCAGCTAGGCTCAGCCTTTCTACCTGGCCTTCCTCTGCTCTAGCCAAGTTCCACTTTTTCTTTCTTTTATTCATTTTGCATTTCCTGTGCAGTTTTACCTCCAAGAAGGATTTGAAAATAACTCAACAAGGAACCTGTAGGATCCTTCCATTTGCACCTTGTGTGGCTTAAGCAGACATAGAAAGGAGCCTGTTTTCACAAGGAGTTGACTGTTAGGTTGCCTGGACCAAATCTTGCAACACATGAAAAGTATAGAGGAGTTGAGAACAACGGGAGTAGGGAATAGGGTGCCTCTAAAATTTCACTAGCAGAGGATGCAACCGCAAAAGAAGTGAAGTTGGGCCCACAAACTGTTAATGACTGATCTGAAAATCTCAACTGCTCAGAAGGTTCTAAGAACAAAGGGTAATTTTTCCCCCTTGTCAGCCCTCCCTCCTAGGACAATGTACAATATGCAAAACTGTAAGTAGAAGACAAACATTTTTTTCCACTGCCTTCTCAGCCCCACGGGCCTTCAAGAAGACCTGAACTTTAAGCAAAACCTTTTTATTTTTCAACACCCACAGCTTCCATTCAGCAATCATAAGTTTTCCACTTCGATCAAAGGGGCTAAACAGAGAGGCCAAGGGAGCAGCTGGTTCTCAGCAGCTCTAGGCAGATTGCCACCCACTCCCTGTCCATACCCAGCAAAGGACAAGGCCTCCTCCCGAGTCAAACAAGTGTACCCCCCAAAACACTAGCTCGCCTCACCCTATCTAAACCAGCAGGACAAGTGAATACTGAAAAATCTGTCTTCCAAAGCCCAGATTCGGCTTCCTTGACAATCAGATAGAGACACTGCCTGCAAGGAAGTATTCACAAGTTCGTCTCTCACTTCCCCTCCCACCTCTGTGGATTTTCACTTTATGAACACACCAAAAAGAGCCTCTAGACCATCTCCTAAGTCCAGGCTGCCTTGCAAAATGCTCAAAGAGAGATCTACATGGAAGCAGAAAGGTGAAATCCAAGCCTGGGTTTGGACATGGCATTTCCTTGAGGCTTCTGGTATCTCCCATGACCTGCAGAGGTAGACTATAGACTACAGAGAAGGATGCTGTCAATCTCAAGAGAAAGAGCAAATGAGGTTTCTGAAGGCCACATCTGGAGGCAGCTATGAAGCAGTGATAAGTGCTTTTTGAGGTATTCTGTAATAAAGGTCATTCATATCCACAGATAGGGTCCAGCTCTGTGTCCCAGGGATCTATTTATTATATGAAATTCCAGACATGGCCCAGAGGGCAACTTGAGCTGTTTAACAGGAATTGTTCAACAACAGCTGCCAAGCCTCTTCCCATTCAGGAAGCCCTCTTACATCATCCTGTTTGATCTTCCCCATGACTGCAAGGCAGAATGGGGTTAAAGCAAGGGCTGTGTTGACTTATTCAAGGAGCAAAGCTGAGAAAGGGAAAGGCTAAGAGGCAACAGGAGGCTTTCAGCCTGTAAGGAAAGAGTCCCACGGGCTTTTGGAGCCAGGCTGGTTTGGATACACCACCAAGTTCTTGCATTAGATAAGCACTGGTAGATTTGATTGAGAATGTTTTTATGCTTGTTGGGCATGGGTTTTCTATACTGTAAAGAAGAAATATTACTTGCCTCTGAGGCTGGTGATAAGTGTGACGTCAGCTTCTAGGCCAAGTTCCCCAGACTGTACCTGAGCCAGAATGTTGGATTCTAGTAACCTCTGTGCACAAACTCACCACAAATACCTGGAGCACTATTTGTACCCCCACACACATACCCACAGACACTTCACACACTCATTCCACAGCACTGAACCTCTCCTTCCTGACCCCTTCACTGGTTTCTTCCCCTAGTATGAACTTTATGGCAAGCCAGTTTCATCGGCAAATTTAACAGCCCCCGAGATCACATTGCAAGAGATTAAGGAGCTTTGGTTCAAAAGCAAACTATTTCCAAATTCGTGTTCTCTCACCATGTCATTGAAACTATCCTCAAATTTCCTACTGCCACACCTTGTCTCCAGGTAGGTAAATGCTCACACAGTGGGCTCTTCTTTCCCAAGAATGGGTGTAGAACAAGCTGTGATTGTCCAACAACCCCAACAGTCATTTTGCTGCTGACAAAGGACTGCCGTCTCTGGGAACCCAGCAAAGAGACTAATCTAGAAGCTTTCTGGGCCACCAGCATGGATCATGCAGTGTGCAGGGTCCCCACAGCAAGGCGTTCTGTGGCTGAGCCTAAAGGAAACAGAAGTGGTTGGTGAACACACACGCGGAACTGTCTCCTTCCTACCGCCCGCTGACATCAACCATCGTCTCTCGCTACAATTTCTCTGCACTCAGATTAATCCCGGGCGATGAAAAATGAACCTCTCCCCCACCCTTGCAGCCACTCTTTGCCTCACGCCCCCAGAGAAGAGTTTCTCCATCCGGCAACTGGTGAAGGCTTTTTTCCAAGTCACATGATCCAGGATGCAGGGGAAAATCCTTCTTGGAACAGAACTGGGTACAGAATCGAGTCAGATGAGAAGAGATAAGGTGTGATGTGGGACAGACTATATAAAGCATGGAGCCAGGGCTGCAGCAAGCAGGCAACCGTGGGGCCCCTTCCCATGACCCAGCCATGCAGGTGCCGCCCGACTTGGTAGCCAGCCCCTGGAGAAGCACGAGGCCCTGGAGAAGCACAAGCCGCAGCTACTTCTACCTCAGCATCACCGCACTTGTGTGCCTTGTTGTGGCAGTGGCGATCATTCTGGTCCTGGTAGTCCAGAAAAAGGTGAGTAAACGTCTTTTCTCTGGTTTTCTTTTCTCACTTATAATTTGCATCTTCTACAGGAACAGCTCTGAGAGCTAATGAATAGGTTAACTGGGAGCAAAAACATTTTTTAAAAATGAAAAAAGTAAGTTATGCATATATAGAGATATTATATCAGAGAAAAGGGGGAAAGAAATAGAAATGAACTTTCTGCACTCATTTGGAATTTTTTAAAGAGAAATATAACTGGACATGAGCTCAAAATTTTCCAGATGTACTTGAGCCAAAAGAGCAGAGAGGAACTATTGACCTTGAGAAATTAAGATTTAGGCCCAGATGGGTCACAGCCTCACTGTATGGAGGGAGGAAGCATGCCGGAGTGTGTACATGTGGGTATCATCTCTGTAAGGCATTCATCCTAATTCTAAGGTTACGCCCTCAATCCATGCTCCCAGGGCTTCTGAGGCCTCTCTATTGCCAAGAGTCTGATGTTGCTGTTGTTTGTCTGTTTGTTTGTTGTTGTTGTTGTTTGTTTTCTTGTTTATTTTTAGTGAGGAGCCACTTTTTAAAGACTGTGATGTTTGAGAGAGAGAGAGAGAGAGAGAGAGAGAGAGAGAGAGAGACAGAGACAGAGACAGAGACAGAGACAGAGAGAGACAGAGAGAACAAAAGAAGCCAAGGCTTCCCAGAGCTCTGGTTATTTCAATGCTAAAACCCACAAAAGAAATCGAAAGCTTCCTCACAAGCCACTGGCTTTGAAGAGCTCAGGGTGTTGAAAAGTTTTTGTCACCTGTACCCTCTGAGATGCACATATAACATGCAGTGCCACACCATCTTGAGAGATTTAGTTTGTTTGAAATGAGGGTAAGATAGAAGGGTTGGAGGAGAAAGTCAAACTGTAGTTTAGAAAAGTATAGTTGAAAGAGAAAGCTTACACACTGTCTGGAGAGTACTGTATGTTCAGCTCACATGACTCAGGGGCTTGAGGTGAGACCCAGGCATAGTGATTTGGATACTGTATACTATATGAATTGCACCCACTCGTGCAACATTCGTCTTTTATTATTCTATAATTCTCACAAGTCATATTATAATCACTCACATTTTTTTTTCTTGGCTCTCCTTCAGTTGCCTTGCACCACAGGCTCTGCAGCTTACTAGTTGCTGAGAGAAAGCTAGGGCCTTACAAGAATCATCAAGTATTGAAATTCAAATAAAGCGTGAAAGCTTCTTCCTCCTTGGCAGTGTGAGAAGGGAGTTATTCACACTTGGCCTTCAGAGCTGATGGGAGTCATGATTTAATGTGTCATTTGCATCTGCTAAGAATGACTCTTAGGCAAACCTTTGGGCACCTTTTCTTATCCCCACATTCTCCACTTTCTGTCACTCTGATTTTCCATACACCAGAAGTGTGTTGTTTTGCAGCAATGGCCAGATAAGATAGATTGGAGTGGCCTTAAGACATTTGTCACTCAGAGGATACAGGCAGAACTGCTGAGTGTGGGGGTGAAGCCAAGATGGGAAGGGCTGATGATGGCACTGTGCAGAACCAGTCTCAATCCATTGTTGAAATGATTCCTTCTGTGAAATCTGGACAGGCTACTACCCTGTTTCTGAAGATGCAGAAAATGAAGCACAGACAAGGGGACAGGGCTTGAAGTCAAGCACCCTGAACAAGTGGTACAGTAGGGGCTGCTTAGTGGCTCTTGGTTGCTCTGTGAGAATGCTGTTCCTTTTGCTTGCCCTGATGGTGGGAGAAACATGGAGAACCTTAGTTCCCATTCTCTCAGAGGTTTGTCCTCTCATGTCTGTTGATCTGAATTACCTCCGAGTCTAGGTACAGAACAGTGCAGTCTGTGTGTAAGCTCTAGTATGCTGTGATTTTTTTTTTTACATGTCAGATACTTGCTCACAGGCTAGGGCTTTCCATTTTAATAGCCATGCCATTAAGAATCTAATGATTTTCACATATCATTTCTAGTACATTACCAGGCATTAACTGTGGCAAGAACTGAAGAAATATGAGTCCCCTGGGCCTGGGTTATCAGGAGTACGTTCAGTAGGAAGACGGATGAGGACAGTTATAAATAGGTGAACTTAGCAACTGAAGAGGCTCAATAGGAATCTGTCAATGAAACCAAAGAAAAGGTCCAAGGAGCTAGTATTAAACGTGGAATGGGCAATGAACACATGGTGTCCTCCTTATACCACTGGGACCAGGTAGGGAGAGGTGAGATTTACTCTACTGCCCTATGTAGGACCACCTTGAGACTACCCATGAAGAAGTGTCTCCCCGGCAGATTGCAGAAAAACATCACTAGAAATGACAGTATCTGGTCAGAGTGAAAAATATGAATAGTTTTCAAAAAATGGAAGAGATAAGAAGAGAGGCCCTTCCTGGACAACTGCAGAGATGAGAAAAGAGATGGAGAAGGGACAGTTAACCATGTCAGGAAAGTCAGTCAGGATCCTTGAAACTTGTCTAGAGGAACAAATAACTCCAAAGTGAAAACTCCATAGTGGAGACAAAGGGGAAACTGAGGAATCACTCTCAGTATTTACTGAGTATCTATTTTGTACAGGACACTGTCATAGACACTGAGTACATAACCCTAACCAAACCTTTGAACCAAATCCACCCCTTGCCCTTGAATTGTTTTTATAGCTTTCTAGTGATGTCTTTGAAGCCTTCTGAGATAGCTGTACTTTTGTTTACATTTAAACCAACAGTATTTATTATGAAATATGATTATATTGCTCCACAAAACTAACCAACTAATAAGGAAAAAGATACTAGAAACTCTTCTTATCCTTTCCTCCAAGCAGCACCCTGTCTTTGCTGAGAATGTCACTGTAAACAGATCCCTAGTGTTCTCTCATAAATCTGAGTGCACTAGTGTACAGATTTCATTATTAAGTCCACCTCATTCACTTGGGGCTTTATCATAGAGATCCATCCATGTTTATATAGAGAAGTCTGCTTTGTGTCACTATAGAGTCCTATCTGATTCTATTGTGCCGATGCCTCGTGCTTTACCTGTGCCTTGTAAGAGTCCCATTACACTTCCCTCTAGGACGTTTTGCCCTTTGTGCATGTTTACAAACAGGTATGTGTAAATAAAACCCTAGAAATAGGAATAGAATGTGCATCTTTCACTTGAATAAATGTTGTCTATCAACCTCCAAAGAGATGACACCGTCTTGAGGCAGGGAAAGTCTACCATCAAAAGCACGGCTCTTCACATCGATATGGGAAGAAAGAAAAGTTGAGGAAGTCAAGCGTAAACATGCTTTTCCCATAGCTTGGGAAAGACTGCAGAGTAGTGATGAACTGTCTACACCCAGGGCAAAGCAAAAGGAAGAAACACAATAGAGCTTCCCTTATTCCCCCCACCCCAGGAAGAATCCAGGATGACACTGGTTTCCCAGGCACGGTATTCACAGAGAGGTTTTTGCATTATAAGGAAGGCTCTGGGCTCTCAACCCCTCAACCATAGTCATGTCTTTGCTTCCTAAGTCAGAAGGCTGGGCATACCAAGGAACACAAACACAGTCCAGAGTGGTATAGCAAGGTCTCAGGTTGTGTGACTTTCAAATATTGGACACCATTTCTAGAAAGAGAAGACAGCTAAGCCTACCTCTCTCTTTCTTTTGTAGAGCAATTGTTGGCAAGGATAGTTGTAGGACTGAGGCTGTTTGGGAAGAGCCCTGTTTCTTAAACTCAAGACAGTCAAAGTGAGTTGAAACGTCCTGAGTCACTTTCCTCTCCTTAAGGGACTCCCCACATCTGGGGTTCATTATATTTAATAATTTGTTTAATTAATTAATTTAACTAATGAAGTTTTTCCAAAACGCTGAGATTTTTTTCCTAAGAAACAAGTGCTCTGCAGGGCTTTGAAGGAAAGACTCACATTCCTCTGTGGGACCGGGTCTGGGAACTCTCCTAACTTGAGAAATTGAAGCCTAGGAAACTGAGCTCCAGGCAGAATGCTCCTGATATATGAATGGGCCACCTATGGTTAGGGTAGGGAAGGTTTGAAAGAGTAACTAGAATATAAACTGAACTCGAAATATTTAGAAACTCTCTTTTAAATTTTTTAAAAGATAGTATGATAAAGCCCATATAAACTTCCACTAGATTAATCAAGCATCCATCACATTCATACTGTCTCTGTACATATATGAAAGCAAGTCATAGGCAGTATGGCTTCACTCACCTATATTCTGCTATCCGTCTCTATCCACCACAGCACTGTTACCACATTATTGTTCATGGTAATTAAACAGTGTTGCCTAGTAACACACAGACATACAGTCCATGTTTCATTTCCCCATGTCTTCTGTGGCTGGGATTTTTATGGTTACTTGGAGGTCTAGGTTCATACACTACCTTCTGTGTGATATCTACATATGTTTTAATTTAAAAAAAAAACTATTTTCAGTGTAATGAGTAGCGCTATCTGGTTTTGTGTCTCATATCTGTGATCCTAGCTTCTCTCAAAGGTAAGGCAAAAAGATTACAAATTCAAAACCTGCCTGGGCAAACTTAGTAAGACATTGTCTCAAAATAAAACTGTTTAAAGGACTAGGGATGTAGTTCAGTACTAGAGTGCTTGCCTGGTAGGCAAGGCTTGAGTCCACTCTTCATACCACAAGAAAGTAAAATAAACAAGCAAATCAATACGTGGATCGTCTTGAGAGCTTGTTAGAAGTAGACTCGGGTTTGAGAGATGGCTCAGTGGTTGAGTTGCTTGCTACCAAGCATGAGGATCTAAACTTGCATGCCCAGAATCCAGGTGCACAATTGTAAACCCATTGCTCCTAGAACAAAATAGGAGTTAGGGACAGGAAAATCCCTGAGGCTTCTCATCCAACTACTAGGTAGTGAACACATAACTGACCAACCAAAGGACAGACATGACAAAAGCTAAGAACTGATATCTGAGGCTGCCCTCTGACCACCACATGTGCATATATGTACTCATACTCTGACCCATGAACATGCATAGATAGACACATAT